TATGTCTCGCCACCTTAGGGTCATCACTTATATCGTCCAAAATAACCAATATAGAAAACAATTTTCTTAATTTGTTTCTTTTACTATATTCTGTTATTTTGTGTTGTGTCTCTATCACTTGTTCTAAATCTTCTGCTATAAACTCTTCAAATAAGTAAGGTTCTTTTTCATTATCCACTTTCATTTCTTCTTTTATATATTTTTTAACAGGCAACCACACACTATCAACATTTATTGAAGGAGACCAAATGTATATTCTTTCGAAACAGTTTTTGTATATATCAAGTATCATATTAATCAATAAAACTGTTTTGCCACTTCCAGAAGGACCAGTTATGATACTTCTGAATGGCAATTTAGGGACAACCTCATGCTTACTTTGCTTAAAGTCATATTTTATTTCATTGATTGGTTTAACTTCAGGCATAATAAAACAATATTATAAATACTTATAAAAAAATAATTATATTTATTATTGAATGGAACATCATTATGTTATGTGTGGTGGTGAATAACATAATGGAACAGGCTTTCCATTGCTTCAATCAATAAGCATTGAAGATAATTAGTTTGAATTAGCTTGAACCTCGCTTGTGTTGTCCAGTCCGAAGAAACCCCATTGCTGAGCCCCGAATATTCTAATAATAAGATTAAATAATTATTTCATCTTATTATTTTATATGGATAGGACTTATTCAGATTATATTGATATAATAGATGAAGTAGAGAAAATAGAACAAGTTGTAATAACTGACAATAAAATTAAAAAATGTTGTTATTATTCGTTAGAATTAATTAAGCTTATTTTTGAATATATCAAAAATAAAAATGTAAATATTAATATAAATGGGAAAAAAGAAAAACAAAAAGAATAAGACAGAAACAACAATTTCATCAACAGATGAAGACAGTGAAGAAGTTATTAATCAGACAGCGGTTATTGAGTTCCCTTGTCCAATGTGTCAAAAGATGTTAGAAATGAAAAACGAATTAGAAATACAAAAGAAGGGAAATTGTAAATGCTCGTGTGTCCCTATCGGTTTTAAGATAAGTAAAACTGACAAAAAAATGAATATTGATAAAAGTAAAGACGGTGATATAAATTTAGAAACAGATGCACATAATATTGCTATACGCTTTGGGAGGAATGTCACCCCATCCGATAATGGCGAGAATGAAACACAGGAAACCATACGAGAAATGATGAAAAAGTAATATATAAAGAGTAGATTTAACACCGCGTTAAACGCATAAATAAATAAATAAATAAATAAATAAATATATAATTGTTTATATATGTCAGATAGTGATAATGTGTCATTAAGTGAGTTGATAAAGAAGGTGAATATGTTAAATAAGAATATCAAGGCATTAACAGATTTAACAACAGCAATTGATGAAAAGTTTCAAGCCAACATAGCAGATAATGTTGATGAGAAGGAAAAGATTGATAAGATTTTTCAAAAGAAAGGCTTAGGCAGACCAGCTGGGAGTTTTGATGATAAAAGAAAGAAATACTGTGAAATGATTAACGACAATAAAATCAAGATGCCAAGACAAGAAACCATTGAATATTACAAGCTGGTTAAGGATGCGAACGGCAAATATTCCTTAGATTAATTTCTAAATAATTCTAATAATATGAATTTATTAGAGTTATTCAGTGGGTCAGGTAGTGTTGGAAAAATTGCAAGAGATTTAGGGTTCAATGTTATATCATTGGATTTGAAGAATGCGAACATCAATACTGATATTTTGAAATGGAATTACAAAGAGTTTGACAAAGGGCATTTCAATTTTATTTGGGCTTCTCCACCTTGCACGGAATACATTAGAGCAAAAACGACAGGAATAAGGAAAATTGAATATGCTAATAGCATTGCATTAAAAACCATTGAAATTATCAAATATTTCAACCCTGAATATTATGTAATTGAAAATCCACAAACCGGATTGTTAAAAAATCAGGAATTTATGAATGAGTTTAAGTTTAAGGATGTTGATTATTGTAAATATGGTTTTAAATACAGGAAACGAACTAGGCTCTGGACTAACATTAAAACATGGACACCGAGACCATTATGTAATAGGGACTGTGGCAACATCAGGAATAACAAACATATTGAAACTGCTCAACGGCTTCCATCAAAAACCAAGGCAGAATGGGGGGATAATTTTGTAATACATACACAGGAAGATTTATATAAAATACCATCAGATTTAATTAGTGAGATTTTGACGAGTTTGACGGATTAAGGAATTTGAGTTGGGGTTGGAGCTCAAACTTGAAATTTCTAGGTTCATCCAACGACAACACAGTAAAACATATGAAATTCAAAATTTTGAAAATTATGATTTCTAACAGAACAACAGGAACAAAACAACAGGACAGGGAAAGCCCCAAGAAAAACCCTCAAACCTCCTACAAACCCTCCTACACACAGAACCCCTCCTACGGAAAACCCTCCTAACCCCAAACCCCCCAGCCCCTCCCAACCCCTCCCGAAGGCTCCGGACCGAAGGTGTACTCGCCGTCATCAACCTGCCACGCAGAAAGAGAGGAAGGAAGGAAGGAAGGATTCGCTAACAACAAAGGCTCAAACATGCTCTTCAAAATGCACCATGCATGCAAACCCGTGCGCTACTTCACGCAGCTTCTTTTTTTGACACCACGACTGCACAACGTGTTGCCAAGGTTTCTGCAAAACAGCTGGAAATGTCCATTCTGCCAATGTTGCCGGTTGCATCTGTCAACGTTGCTGGTTGCATCTGTCAATGTTGCTGGTTGCATCTGTCAATGTTGCTGGTTGCATCTGTCAATGTTGCTGGTTGCTCATTGGACAGTCCAAGCTACTATGTCATTCTGACATCGCCACCGACTGGAAAGGATGCCACCATGGCATCTCTGACTTCCAAGTCAACTTCAATCATCTTCTCCAAGCCCTTCCAGTCCATCTTGCCAGAAGCTGACATCAACGCCTCCGACACGATGACTTTGATGATGCCAAGCCCTGTGTTAATCGCAATCTCCAAGTCCTTCTCACATTGGTTCACCTTTGGCACATAGGCTCTCAAAAGCTTCAAGCAAAGCTCGTCGATCATGTCTGTGGGACGCGTGGCTTCAAAGGTTGTCAGCTCCTTTGTCTGGGAAAGAGGGATGGTACGGATGATCTTTTTCAAGGCAACCAGAAAGCCACTACCCGCGCCATCTGCTTGAAGGGCTTTTTGATGAAGCTCCGCCAACTTCTGGCTCTCTGCGTTGAGGAAGGTGGACATGTCAACTGACAAGTTCTTCTGCAAAAGCTCATCAAGGTCTTTCTTGTTGGACAAGAGGGTCAAAGCCTTTTTGGTCATCTTGTTGTCCTTCGCGATCTTGGCACCGCCTGTCAAGCCGAGGCTCATCTCAATGCAAGCAGTGTCAGTGAAGATTGAGGAGACGTGCATCCTGTGCAAGTTCTTTGTCAAGGCATCATTGGGGCGGAAAAATATGTTGCCATCATAGCGGTGGTAAGGGCGGTGTCCATCCACAAACTTGAACACAAAGCGGTCACAGTGCGAGACGGCAATGTTGAACCGCTTCAATGCCTTAATCTTCATCTTCTTGATGCTGTCCTTTGGTCGCAGGAAAATCTGCTTGGTCTCGCGTGTCTCGGGGTTAGACACATAGATGCAATACTCACTCATGTTGTCAATCATCATAGCCTTCTTGGAAGAAGCTTGGGAGGCAATAATGCGCATGTTGTTGATGAGGCGGGTCAATTCAAGCCTGTCATCTGGCAAGTTGTCCCTGTCAACGTTGCTCATGTCTGGCATCTGTCCACGGTGGAAGCCCTGCTGGATGGTCATAAAAAAGGCCTGGTTCATGCGATTCAACTTGCCAATCTCAACCGCCATGAGTTTGCAGTTGTTGCATTCATCATGCTCATGAACAACCTCATCATCCGTCTTGTCTTCCTCCTCCGATGTCTCTTCTTGTCCACTGCCACCAAGAGATTCATCATCATCGCTTGGCTCATCTCCATCTCCTCCGTCTCTGGCGTGATGCACTGGCGGTTCATCTCCTCCATTAGGGGCATCGCCAGAGTAGCCACCCTGATGGCTTGAAGAAGCCTGTCCTGCGTCTGAGACTTGCTGTGGTGGCAAATCTGGTTCATCATCACCTGCCTTCTTGGCAAGGCTTGAAATGCCACGAGGTGGCATCACAAACACATCTTTTGGTGAGCGAAAAGCCATGGATGCAAAAAGCCTAGCTGAATGCTGAGGGCCGGATGCTTCCCTACACATCCATTTGAGAGACATATGTTGCCACACATCTGCTTGTGAGCACATCATGCCCGATATGCTGATGCAACGAGATAACCGCTCAACATGACAGATGCACCTTCTGCATGTTGTAGACGTAGAAGCCGTGGCGTGGCGGCACGACGGTTCCCGGAAATTATGGGGGCTGTTCTTGTTTGAGGGTTTGTTCATGCTCTTTGAAAAGAAGCTTTGGACAGTTTCGTTGGTTGGTTGCTTTGGAATGTTCTATGTTCTGTTCCTTGTTGGTTTTTTGGTTATGTTCTTTGTTGTTGGGGGTTTTTGAATAAGGGACCTTCAACCCACCTCAGTAAGGAAATAATATGGTTGAAATGGTAGGTAGCTTTGGAATGTTGACTGGAATGTTGGATTTGAATGGTTGAAACGGTAGGTAGCTTTGGAATGTTGACTGGAATGTTGGATTTGAATGGTTGAAATGGTATGCTGTTTTTAAATGGACTGAAAAGTGTGGGGGGGGGGTATAGATATTGAGGTGGGTTGAAGCCCCTCTGCTTGCTATATGACCCCCAGGCAAGGTTAAGAGTCAGCAAAGGATGCAGAGCTAAAATAGATCGTATGATGTTGAGGAAGAAGCTGTGCCCCACGCTTCGTGGAAGGAAATCGTCTTTAGGCGCGGCGACGCATAGACGTTTAGGAGCCCAAGATTATGGGTTTCCCTGTTGAGTTACAGCCTGACACAGGCGGATGCCAAGGCCGAGAAGGAGGGCGTTGGAAGGACTGATTCTCCCAAAACCGTGCAGATTGCGGCGCCCGAAGTTTGGGCGTTTGGTGGATTGGCCTGGGAGAACAGTGGCGTTTGGGGGCGATCAGGGTCGGACAGGGCCGGCTGTGTCAGGATTGAAGCGTCCATGTACGTGGCACGCTTTGACCAGATGCCTTCTTGGGAGAGCACTGCTCACCCAGTGGCCAACTTCAAGAAGAACGATCGCGGCACCGGGGCTGCAGAGCCGAAGGTCCCAAGCCGTGACCCCTGCGAGCAGATTTTGTTTTGAACCTGCCGGAAGCAGAAGCCTCGTTCTGAAAAAGCCCGGTATCTGATTTGTCGCCCCAGGCAACATTATTGGATGCAACATCATGAGCTTGCAGCCCAATTGGATCGGCCACTATATCGACAGGACTGATTCAAGGGCAACGACCGCAGACGGCACTGGGGTTTTATGCGGACAAGACGGTCATAGATGGTCATTGAAGGCATTGATTGATCAGTTGCCTCGGTCAGTTCATTTACAAAAAGAGGAAGCTATTTCGATTCGTGACAGTTGTTTTGATTATTGCAGGAGAGAATGGAAAACGGACACTTGCAGATGCATGGATGCCTGTAAGATACCTTTGCACCGGTGCTTGAAGGTGTTTTCACGACTGGCACTCTCAACTCATGGCAAACCCATGACAAGCGTTGACCTGTTGCGCCGCAGGAACCTGCAGAACTCTCTCAACTTGAATGATCTGAAGCTGGACAGGCCAGATCGGATCGATGCATTGGTATGACTTGTGCGTGGCGTTGAAACACAACAAAAGTGCAGTTTGGGATCCTGCGAAGCACGGAGAGAGATAGTGGCTCCATTCATGTGAACGGCTAGTGCATGTCAGCTTGTTTCCATGTTTGACTGCTCAGCTTCACCCAATTCGGCCGCCACGCTCGCCCTGCGCAGGGACTGGTCAAAGGTTACGCACCAAGATGCCGTGCAACTGGTGCACCAGATCGAGGGCGGAACTCTGCTCACCAAGAAGGACATATTTGACATATTTGAGAGACTTGTGCAAGTTTGTCTGCAAAGATGACCCTATTTGATGAAGCTAGCTTAGTGACGGCCAATATTATCCTGACTGCTGTACAAGCACTGACGCACAAACAAGCACCAGTCGTTTGCATGAACTGGTAATGTACAGGACTATGCTCTATTCAGAGTTGTTTAGTTGTTTTTGCTGGAGGACCCCTTGCGTAGAGTGGTCCAAAGTCAGTATGAATATGGCAGGATTTCCAACAGGGTCCAAAGGATGCTTGGCCGCAGTCAAAGATGCAAGCAGATGAGGCCGAGCCAGTTTTTTCAGTGGGACAAAGCAATAGTCATCCGTTGCTGAGAGTTGTTGCGAACTCGAAGATTTCAGATGCTTGGGCAACAACACGGATTGCTTGGGACGATGTTCAGCGCTTGTCAGCTGAGGACTATGTGGTGACTGCGCCTTGGCTCAGCATGCGTACCAGGAACGCGATGAGAACTTGCAATCTTACTCGCATAACAAACGCGGTTCTGCACCGAGCAGTTTGCTGAGAACCCCTATCTTTGTGGCTGTTCAAACTGGGACAACCATAAGTTCGGGAGGCCCATAGCTTTGGCACACGCACTTGTGGGTCATTTGACCGAGGTGGACAACCTCATCAAGCTCATGAGCATCCAGCAGCGTCTTAGGTATGGTTTGCCAGTGATCCTGATGGGCGAGACCGGCTGCGGGAAGACCGCACTGGTCCGGCGCTAAGAGGGCCAGGCTGCCCATGTCTCACGTATACGTGTCAGCCGGAAAGACAGGCATGTTGTGATTGATGTGGGCTTGCTCGAGGCAGACGAGCAAACGGCACATCGAAGTGAATCAAGCATGTTGCTTTAGCTGAGGTGAAATTTTTGGCAGAGACGCTGGAATTCCAGCTCTTCACCTTGGACATCCACGGTGGAATCACGGATGCTGGACGCCTAAGCTTTTCAAAGGCTCTCAATCAGAGTGTCTTTGCGCCTCAGGCAGCAATTGTCGACTTCTTGGAGCAGTCGATCGCTAAAGCGAACTCCAGCTCGGGCGCCGCTTGGTTTGCTATGGACTGCTTGGATGAAATGTCTCAGAGAAGGTGCCTAAAGAAGGCATGGAGAGCGTATGAGAGGCAATTCAGAATGCTTTGCGATCTTGCGAGCACATGAACAGAATTCGATTTGCGCATCTTGTCCTTTCAGCAGCTGTAAATGAAGCGATCACTCTCCAGTGCTTTCCCTGCTATGGAAGAGCTTAGAAGCATAGGGCATGGCCTGGATCAGCTCTCAGGTCTTGCTCTTCCTTGACGAGATCAATGCGGCAAACTGCATGGCGCTGTTCAAGACGATCATCATTGATCGCATGTATGGCAACAAGGTGATCCCAGAGAATGCCGGGGCTCCAAGGGTCTGCTGTAGTCTTTTTTCGTGTTTTGAATGCCAATCTCAGGATCTATCAGGCAAATGTTTGGATTTCCAGTCAAGATCTTGTTGTTACAAGCTGACAAGGGATGGCAAGAGCATGTTGTTCATAGCCGGCAGTCTCAGAAACCGCAACGAGGTCAGAATCATCTCCTGCTGCAACCCCTACCGGAAGCGTCGCAACAAGGAGTGCGTGAGAGCGGGAAGATCTGATCATATATTACGGGAAGATCCGATCATATATTACGGACCAGCCGGGCTTTACCTGTGGATGGACGAAATCCATTTCGCACCACCTAAGAAACCCTGGAAGGATATGATTTCCATGCAAATGCCAACCAACAAAAAGATCTCCTAGGATAAGACCTTGGTTCTTTGTACGTGGAAAGGTTTTTAGAGACTCTCGGGAGTACACGGTCACACCATGCTTTGTCTGTCCTTTCTGCTTGGCGTTGGCCAGGAGCTGGAGGATGTGGCCCTGGTCTTCTCCTCTGCCACAGGTGAAGCTTCAAGCGGAACTGTTTCTTGCTCTGCGCAGGGTTTCCAGTGCAGGTGTTGAGTCAAGTTCTTTGCATGTGTCCCTTGTTCATCCTCACAATGCATTGAATATTGGCAGACAATCCTCATAGCTTCTGTTCGCAGATGGCACCTTGATGGTTGCCCAAAGCGGCACTCTGCAAGTAAGTACCAGCACCTAGTGGAGGAAGAGTCCGACTTCCATAATATGAAGCCCAGCAAAGGCAAATGCTGCTACATCGCTTTCAACACGCGGGGGCCAGTCAAAACCCAAAGCGACGCACACATGACATCAGATCACTGCGACGTACTTGGGCGCAGACGTTAGCAAGACGATCACGGCAAACGACCGAGCAAACCCAATCGTAACATGAGTCACAAGCAAAACCCGGGTAAGTGAAGGTTCGTAAGAGGCAATCCCAACCATAAATAGCTGCGGCCGCCTTCTTATTTCTTTACATGGTTCTGGGTCGACCATTTTAATACCGGGTTTTGATTATGACTCACATGGTGTTCAACACCGTGATTGCGTCCACAAGGCCTGTAAGAGGTTGGAGCCAACCGACTCAGTTGTATTATCTTTTAATCACATTCCAATTGAACGGGCTTACGATTGTTAAACTAGACGGCACATACATCCAAGCGCAGGACAGCAACGAGTATGTGCATGGAGGAGGGACGGAACTCATCCCCAGTAACTCCCAGCACAGCCTTTGCCATACCCGCAACGAGGAAGTTTTGGACTATGCCAAGCATGGATCTGGCGTGGCAGCGCATGAAACAGTAGGACAGTGATCTGCCCAACATTCTTTTTGACAAGGCTAACTTTCACATTCGTCAACACCTCATCACTCGGGCTACAAATCATGCAGAAAATGCTTGAACACGATTTGGTGCAATTAGTCCCTTTGTGTGACACTCATGACAGCGCCCAGTAATCGGGTTTGGCATCACAGGCCTTGTGCTGCACTGTTTGGACCTTTTCCCGAAAAACAACGGCACGCACTGCAGCTTGTGGCCAAAAGCACGATCGCTTCATCCTGGCATCTGTCAAGATCAGAGATATCTTGAGGGCATTCAGTGAGGTTCCTCCAGCCTAAGTCAACTCCTGCGGACAGGCGATGCCAGTGGTATCTCAGACCCCATGAAGGCCGGTTCGCCTCGAGAGCGTAGGCATTTCGAGTGGGATGTTTGCGAGTTTATGCGGTTCGCTGGTTCCCTCCGCTTCCTTCGGATAGCCAAACTGTGGAGCAAAACCAGTCCTACGGTGCTATGGGGCGGGCCTCTGAATGTGGAATGATTGTGCCTTGTGCCCCTGAAGCCGAGGATAGGTCTAATTAGTCTAAGGTCCTTGGCGACAAAAAACAACGCGTTGGCCAGGAGCTGGTGTACCGCGTGCACCCACTGCCTGAGAGCCTTATCGATGTGGTCTCGGACTTTGGCTCTCTGTCGGAAGCCTCTGAGGCCCGGGAGATAGGGGAGGAGACCAGAAGGTGTAGGGTTCCTCCTTTCCGATTCCCATCCCAAGAACGCAACATTTGGATGACAATCCTTGGGTAAACGATGGCGGAGTTTCAAGTGAGCCCCCTTTGTTTTGCATGGTGGTTTGAACTTTAGGAGAAGGAGATGCCAATCACAGTGTTTGTCAGGACATCTACGTCAAGGCAATCTTGCGGAAGGACAGCTTCAGCCAAGCGTTTTTCCCCATGATCCAAAGCCCAGAAGACGCCACAGGGTGTCGGGCGGCTTTGTGAATTACACCATCGACACTTTTCGATGGCAAAGCAAATTCAATGTCTTTTCCAGACCATTCTGCCGACCCGAACGTTTTGGATTGCCGCCAAGTCCTTGCATAAGTGACAAAGGTGGGTCTTCCTGTAGGGTTGGCCGGATTGCCCATTCTTCTTCTTCTTTTCCCAGACCTCCAAGAAGCTCGTGATCCTTTTAGTGCCAGTGCGAAGATCTCCCAAGCCAAACGCCTGAAGCTCCAACAAGCGCCAAGGGGGAGACCAAGAGAGTTAGTGATCCTAAATATATATATATTTCTATATATTTCTATATATGCATACATGCCTGTTATACGAGTCCGAGCTATTCCAAGCCCGACACCTGAAGCTCCATCAAACTTTTCAACCAGCGCCATCCTTCTCGCTAGGAGCTGCCACAACTGGGCGAGGCGCAGCCCGCGGCGGGAGCGGCGGGAGCAGCCCCCCCGGCGCAGGCGGGGCTGAGGTTGGTTCAAACGAGGCTATTGGCCATGGACCGAAGTGAAGCGGAACCTGACAGTTCTGAAGGCCCCACGTTCTTGGCCCGGCGGTTTTTTGTTTAGTCAAGCTTGATTCGAGCCTCTAAGGTTTTTTACTGGTAGGGGAAGGCCCCAGCTTTACCCGCATCGCGGCCACTTCTGATGTTTGCAGGGCCAGCAAAATGATGCAGCCCTACCCCCTGACGACTACCAGGCAGGGGGGTTGAGAAGCCTTGCCAAATTCTGGAAGATAGTTGCGGGCAACATGCAGTTTCGGATGGGACGCCGAACAAGGTGTGTGGGAACCCGTGCCTGGTACGAGTTTCGTGAGGAGCGTCCCAACCCAATCCTCACGCGCGGCGGCGTTTTTGTTTTGCAGAGCTCAAGTCATGGCCTTGCTTCTTCTGTCATCCTACAGTACTGCCGTGCTGTATCCACAGAAATGAATGGGGATGAGGCCCGCTTCCTTGAGAGTTGGCTGACCGGAAGCGGTGCAACTCAGACATTCAGTCGATTCGCAGATCTATTTGGAGTTTCCTTTGTGCTCTGTGCTCCCAATCAACCACGAGTGGCAACCCTCTCCAAGAACTCGCCTCAGAGCTTTCTGCCTCCTTCCCATTGCCAGGTCTTCATGAAGGCCTTCTGTGACCTGCTCTGCCAGTCGCAGAGCTACGTCCGCGAGGAGCGGCCTGAAAAGCCATGGGATCAAAGGAGTGATGACGTCTTTGCCTCGCCGAAGGCGCATGAATCCGAAGGCAATCGCATGAAGCGCATGAAGGTCTTTAAACGGTTCTTCGTTTTTTTTCCTTTTTTTTTTTCCCCGGGGGGTTCGAGATGAAGACAATTTTGGCATGGGAGACAGTTGCCGAATCAAGTTCTCTCATGCGCTCTTTGATTTTGAGGTCAACGAGGGGGAGCGAAGCGTGGTGTCCATGCGCGACATTGGCCGTGCAGCGCGGGTCTTCAAGTGGCCACCTGGCGGCTGCAAAAAGGGGGTTGGCTGATGAAATTGTGGGTGCCTCAAGGGGTGTTTTATGCGTGCGGTTCCGGTAATGTTGGGACACTGTTTGACCAGCGATCATGTCTTTCTGGGAGCCAGGTTCCTGACTTCCTACTCCAAGCTGCGGGGTGAGAAGGCCTCTGCAGCCGTGCGGGACGACAAGGCGGGCCAGACGCATGTGCGACCCACGAATACCTTGAGCTGCGAGTGTAAGGATCAACTGTGCAACGTGCTGGGTGCACCATCACAGCACAACGGCTTCGGAGCCAGGTCTTTTGGGGCTTGCACTTGCAACATTAAGCATTACTGATGACGATGAACTACCAAAGTCGCAGCTTGCTTCATCGTGGGGTGAAGACACATTTGTAGCCGCAAAGCTGCTTGAACCGTTGCCGTACATCGACATGCGCGACAGTGTACGCAATTGTTGCCATGAATATTACGTTTGTGCCTTTGCACATCTGTTTCTTCGCTGATGCACACTGCACATTGCCACTGCGTCTTTGTCCAACGTCAGCTACATAGGTGTCCTTGTAGGTCGTTTTGGTCGAAAAATCGATGGCGATCCCTGTTTTACCTGGTGGTTTCATCATCTACCAGGGAAACCCATCTATTTCCCCGGAGAAAACCAACAAAATGGAAAACAAACAAAAGAACAAACAAACAACAACCAAAAAACACAACGCCTATGGAAGCAGCTCCGGTTTTCTTTCCGCCGCGGACCATGCGCAGCTTGGCTCGGGCGCCTCACCGGGACCTCGGGACCGTCGTTCCGCAGGACGGCGCCCTGAAGATCAACGTTTGCCCGGAGCTCCGCGAACACCTGAGGCCGCTTGCTGGCCGTTTGGAAAGGCGTCTCTTTTCTGGGCTCCCAGCGATTCATCCGGTTCAACTGAGCTTTTTTTTTTTTTTAATTATTGTGTTTGGTGGTTTCTTTCCAAGAAAACCCACAAGTTGAACTTTGAGCAGGGGATACAAGGCAGCCCACTCTTGTCAACTCACCAAGTTCTGCGAGCTACCACTTCACACCGCAGCATGTCGCTTGCCAGGAATGCGCTGGTGCTGACAATGGGCTACTGCCACTCTGCCGGCAATTGAGGTAGTGGGCATGAAGCAAAGATTGCATCCAGCCAAAGCTTGTGTTCATAGCAAAGTTACCGCATCAGTCAGGGCATGTGCAATCCTTGCTTGTGTGTCGAGGCTACCATTCCAGGTTGACCAGAAACCAGCGATGGGGCTACCGCAAGAGGCAGGAGTGGAAAGCTGAGGTCTCACACAGAGCCACTGGTGTTGCCAGATTGGACCTGTAGGTGGTGCTCTTTTCGATGGGGACAAACCGGAGGTTTTTCTGTGGCTCTCCTAAGCGAGGCTTTCAAGGGTGCCATCAAAGAAACGCCCAGCCGGGCCTGCACTGAGCTGACACTTTGCCGAGCCCCCCGTCGCCCTGTCACCCTGTCGCCCTGTCGCCGTGTCGCCCTGTCGCCCTGGCGCCCTGGCGCCAGGCTCTGTGAGACCTGGGAGCGCATCAGGACTCAGGATGCAGGGGCCATGGACTGGCTGCGCCTGGACAATGCCAACGACCTCAACACCATGCTTATCTCAACGAGCTTCGAGTTTGTGCCGGGCCACCTAGCGATGGCTTGCCCGCCTGTTTGTGTGAGAAAGCGAGAGTTTGTCGCCCTTCTTGGTGTGTGTCTGCTTGTCGCATGTTTCCATGCTGCAACAAAGCTAGCATGTTTCTGATTCGGATTCAAGGCGGCAGGCACAAAGTCCAGGTATCTTTTGCGCGACAGGTTGAATTGCCCAAACCATTCCTGAGGTCGCAGATGGACCTGGGCGAAGGCATTGCCCTCAACGAGGCTTTGCGGGAGAATCTCTTCATGCTGCTGGTGAGCGCCGGATGCTCAGGTTTGGTCGGTTCCGAAATCAGGCAACGTAGCATGGCAGCTTGCAAAATCCGCGGTCCATTCAGACGGAGTAGGATCTTGCCAGTCTACTCGCATCAAAAACTGCAGCTCACCTTCGTTGAGGTCATGAATCAGATCCCCATTTTGCTCATCGGCAAGCCTGGCTGCTCCAAGAGTCTGGCGATGGGTGTTTTGCAGAACAACCTCAACGGCGAGGCTCCGGTTTGCCGTGCGGAGCGTTGGGCCGTTTGGTGGGAGCTGCATGCTGGTGCTTCTGCGGGAGCTAATAAAGTGTTTTGCGGTAGGTCAAGTTTTGGCACGCTACATCTCCTTACGGCGTTTGTGCGCTGTCGAGCAGGTCTCCAGCCGTGAGTTCTTCAAGTCCATGCCGGCAGTTGACGTCTTTGCCTATCAGCTCCTTGTTTGAGATGCTGGCAAGGCAGACATAGCAACTATCGCAACGATGCACATGGAATGTTCTAGCTCTTTGAAAATGTTTGCTGCACGAGGTACACATGGTTTGTCTGTCACGGCAACCCTGAGGGTGCAGAAATTGACAGAACTGGGCGTGGCTTGAAAGTGCACAGCTGGGGTGACGCAGGTTTTAGTCTACCTTTCCATTTACCGGGGTTCCATTTTGGACCGATTCCTATTTGTGAGCCACACCCTGACCCGAATGGGACTGAGACCTCACGCTGAGGTGCTCGCCGCTCTCCACGCCGGATGCCATTCTCAACGCCTTCCACTCCGCTCGGCAGTCCAACCTTGGCCACAAGAGCACCATCGTTTGCGTGTGCCTGTGGCGGCAAAGCTCGTCTGATGGTTTTGGCAAGAAAACCGGTTGCCAACTTGCAGGGGCGTCTGGAGCCATGCAACCATAGGTGCCCTTTTTTGGTTGTCTTGCTAGACAAATAGATGGCGATTCCTGGTTTACCTGGTGGTTTAATCATCTACCAGGGAAACCCATCCAATGCGGACAGCAGCCTGGCAGTTGTGCTGTGCCTCTCTCCGGCTCCAGGCTCTTGGATGAGGTCGGCCTGGCGGAGGAGTCCCCGCACCTGCCGCTGAAGGTGCTGCACAAGGAGTTGGAGGAGCAATGTATTTGCCGGATCAGAAGCTGAAGTTGGCCGCGGGTTTCGGTTTTGACAGCCTTGCACACCTCAGCGGGTTCCTCAATCACGAATTTTGAGCCTGAATCTTTGGGCAGAGGAACATGCTCCGCACTCCAGCATGTCACATGAGTTTCTCTGTCTGTCTCAGCGTTTCATAGCCACGTCGTGCAGCCACAAGTTGAAGGTGTCGGGGAACACCGGCATGGTGCTCAGGACCTCCGTGGCATTGCGTGCGTAGGCATCTCCAACTGGGCGCTGGATGCGGCAACTTGAACTTGGAGGGAGGGCTGGCAGCAAATCTTGAAGACTTTGTCCAGCAACAGCACGCCATGATATGTAGCTGTACTGCCCAACGCAACCGGCATTCCGTTAACGATGGCTCAGTTTGCTTGTGAAGTGGTGCAGGGCAGTCAGTAGGTGAAGGTTAGTAAGGGGCAGTCAGTTTTTTCATTTCCTTACATCAATTTGGGTAGACCATTTTGATGCCAGGTTTTGATTGTGACTCGTTGTATACCACCTGTCGATCTGAGGCGAAGATGAGTCGCTGCGTGACGCTGTACCGGCCGCCGCCCACGGTGGATGACCTCAGCGTGACCGCGGAGGGCATGGTGCAGTCGGTGCCTGGACTGAAGCGGCAAGTTATGGCCATGGGTCAGCCCCCAGTGAACATCCCAATCCAACCACTAAAATAGACTAAACTGGGTGCTGCACCTACCCCAAAATGGTACCATTGGTGTTGACCAACAGCCTTATCATGAACATCTCCTTGGATGGAGTCCCTTTTTCGGAGTAACCAGTTGCATGTAGAAACTCCAGACATGGCGGTTTGATGTTGGGCGGAATGCCTCTGAGTTGATCGACAGCTGTTCTGGCTGGCAACTGTTTAGTTCCGGCATGGCAGTAGGCGCTGGACGGACTTTTTCTTTGAGCAATTTGGGGCTTGCACCAGTCAGTTGGACAATCCTGCATATTTGATGAATTGCAGAACGTCGAGGAGACTCTCTGTTCCAGGTTCCGTAGCAAGATTGCGGCCGGTATATTGAATTTTGTAGAGGATGGCAGGTTGCGCCAATTTAAAGGCATCAGCAAGACAAACTAGTGGATCCCTGAATCAGGGATTGCTGCCAATGCTGGTCTACCTTTGAGGCGAATCTGAAGGCATACCTGAGGGCGCTCTCAGAGGCCTTCCATGAGATCTACAAGAGCTGCTTGGGCAAAATCAATCTGACTGCTGTCTTGGGGCTGGACCCCGATTAAGCTAATTTGGATCTCAGGATTTCGGGGGGGGGGGGGAGCTTTGGGGGGGGGGATAGAGTAACTTGCATTTTCCGAAAGTTGCAGCAGGATAGGAACCCGCCACAATCTCCGTCCTTCTGCCAGCAGCAGAAGGGGAATTGCGGCAGGCGTTATCAAGAGGCGCTGTCATCATGGAAGAAGCTTGTAAGGCAGATACAGGGCAGGACGCAAGTAGGACGCAAGTAGGCCTGACTTTGAGGTTGAGATCCGAGTAACACACGCAGACATGCACCACACACACACATATATATATATATATATTATATATATATATATATATACACATGTACACATGTACGGGAGTCGTCCGACAGGCTTTTGTATTCAGGCGAGCCTTCTTTTTTTTTACGCTCAAGCAACCATGTATGGATGTTGACATATAAAAAATGGCAGCGCCGCACTGCAGCCGCGGAAGGTTTGCGGAAGTTTTGCGGAAGTTTTTGTTTTTTTTGTTTTCTCCCTCGCGGAAGCTCGCGGAAGGGACGTGGCTGATTTGCACATAGTAGCTTGATGTCGTTTGGGTGCTTGTTGCCAAGCACGTTTTCTAGCAAACGGTGCGCACGAATTCCCTCGCGGAAGCTACCGTCTCCAGTAGAAGCAACTTGCCTACGGAAGGCCCGCGGAAGCACTTATATAAGCTTATATGGAAACATGCTCGCGGAAGGTTCCTTTCACACGGCGGAAGCTTCGCGGAAGGTTTCGCGGAAGGGGTTGTTGATACGTCAATGCAAATTTAAAGGGAGTACATGCCACCACTCAGGCATGAAGGGGAATACTTTTTCGTCTCGTTGTTGCCCTTTGCGAGAACTTCGCGATGGAGGTTGCGAAAGTCATTTTTGTTTCTTGCGAAAGTTGTTTGTATGGGCGGTTTGCGAAAAGGAAGAGGAATGATGAACCATGCGTGTTTGTCGGCAGCGCGCCCAGAATGCACACAGACTAAAGTTGGTCGGGGTGAGGGTTACCACAAGAATTCGTCGCTGCAAAACAACCGCCAGAAGAATGCAGCTTGTGAGAGTTTTGAAGCTTTCGGGTCCAGCTGAGCGCAACTTTCCAGCCGGATTTTCGGTATTGTTTGGTGTAAGATGCGCAAAAACATCGCGAAAGTCAATGGACCTCCCCGGCAGTTTCAACATGGGTCGCCAATTCCCCCCCTCCTGCGCTGCTGCGCGGCTTGCGAGCTTGAGCTGCGGAAGCGCACTTTGTGTGCTACTTTGGAGCTCGTTTGGAGCTCTACTTTCGTACTGCATAGTTGCGACTTTTGAGCCGGGCCCGAAGAAGTGTACTTCGCGTGCTGCCTTTTTGATGAATGTTGTGAAAATAACCCCGCGAAAGCTTCGCGACTGCGCGGAAAGTTTCCCGCAACCTCGTCCGCCGCAGCGCTCGGAGAAACCGCAGAGCCAGAAGCCATGCTGAGTCCTGCGAGCGGGCCCAAATTCGCAACGACGCTAGCCGGCAAGCCCTCCACTGTCTGCTGAAAGCCGGATGGCCAGGGCAAAGTTCTTAGTGAAGGTCGCGTTTCCGGGAACAAGGAATTTCAGACAACCACCGTATGTATGTATATTTATACATAAATATATATATATATATAGATAGAACATTCAGATGGGTACATGTGTCTATACATAAAAACTATTCGCACACGTGCGCAGACGCGCGACCTCGCACATGGGCATGCTTCCGTACGTCGCTGGATGCATTCTTGATTGCTATGTCCTGCTCAATCAAGGACAAAAGCGCCCAGACTTCTGGGGCATGCGTGAGTTCTACAGCGACTTGACTTGACCAGCCTGTGCCCTCTTCTGCAAGGAGTGACAAGTATGTCTTCTTTTTGCCAAGCTGGTGATAGCGTTGCTGCTAACGAACATGTGACAGCGTGGTAGTGTTCGGTTTTCGGGGCAATACTTGATCCTACCACCGCGTGCGCGGGCTTTGGGTGCACCCAGCCGCTGGCTAAATCAGGAATCAGACCTTGGACTACAGAGTCGAAGGGCCAGGCCGCAACAAAAGAGTAGAGCACACCTTGCCACCATTTTTTTCTTCCGCTTGTATTCTTCACCGCGGTCTTTTTTACTGCCCAAGAAGATGGGCTCGCTCACAGAGAGCGGGCGGTCGAGGCACGGTGCGGGTCATCAACGCCGAGCTGAAGATCCGCGCGGCCGCCGGGCTGGAGGCAGTTCTGGAGCCCAAGGCGCGCTCGACGTGTGGCCATGGGTTGCATAACCTATGGCGAGCCATTTTGGGGTGGAACATCCCATTTGCCACCTATTTTGAGGTTCATCAGGGGTTTCTTGAGTTTTGACCCACAGCTGTGTCTGTGTTGCTTGAAAGGGAGGCAAAAGGAAACCAAGCATTTTGGCGGGTCTAACAAAGAGACCCGCTCATGTGGCCCTTGTTTTCTGCTTCTTTGTTTCAGCTGCTCGGACCTCTGGGGCCAGACGGGTTGGCAGATCTGGTGGCCAGGTGCTGATGAAGACGGTTCAGCGCAACTTCGGCGGGCAGCCGGAAGAGCAGCTGGAGGTGGGCAAGCTTGGGTCAAAATTAAACCACCAGGAATTGGACCGCAGGTTTTAGTCCTTGTGTCCACTTACCAGGGTTCCATTTTGGATACCTAGTTTATGACCCCCACCCAGGTGTTTGAGCTGTCAGAGAAAGCCGAAGGGGAATGTGTGCTGACTCCATGCGTGTCGTGTCCGTTTTGTCCAGAACTGCATCGAAGAGTTCTTTGAGCGCACTGGCATGGCCTGGGCCCTATGCGAAGTGAACTGATTGCTTGGCAGTTGCTTCGCGGTTTTCTTTGCGTTTCGATGTTTGGCATTTTGACGTATGCCGGGGCGTGCAACAACCGGTGGCAGACATGCTAGTCGCGGGACAGGCCTCAAGAAGCCACACCTGCGACCTCTCAGGACCACCAGCATGTGACGAAGCTCACCACACCCGAGCTGATCAAGCAAAACCTTCAGGAGCCTGATGCCAGGCTGTGCGGGGAGAGAGAGCACGTTGAAGCGCCATTTCTGCTGGAAGGGCGTCACAGCATCTTAATCGAGCCAATCTTCGCAGATGTTCTTTACGCAGGTCTACTCAGGCGCCGGATCTCAGGCGAT